CATCATCATTATCTTCACTGCTTACATTTTCATTTTCTTCCACTGGGACATGAAGAGTTTTGTCTTCATTTTCAAAAGTCAACTTGAAATCAATGTGATTTTGTTCTTTTTGTTGAATATCAAAATCTGTTTCGCAGAAATGAACATTAGCACCGACATAAATTTTTCTCGTTGACGGATTCCATAGTCGATAATTTGGCGATTCTTTCTCATATCCTACAAAAATCATTTTTCTACTCTTCGGGTCCCATTTCTTTCTCAGTTCTTTTGGATTATACATATATGCTACTGTTCCAAAGATCCTGAGGTGTTTTATATTGGGCTTCCTTCCAAACCATTTTTCATATAGTGTTGCCTGATCTGTTTGTTTGCAAACTGATCTATTTAGAACATATACCGAAGTATTCACAGCTTCAGTCCATAATTCCAAACTCAAATTTTTCGAATACAACATGGAACGTGCACTGTAAGTGATAGTTTTTATATCTCTTTCTGCTTCTCCATTTTGTTCATGAGCATAAGGAGCTGAGGTTTCGTACAAAATACCTTTTTCTCGGAAGAAATTTAGCATTCTCACATTTACAAACTCAGTTCCGTTATCGAATCGAAATATTTTTATGACATTTCCGGTCTGTCGTTTTGTCAGGACTTCAAATTCGATAAATTTTTCAAAAACTTCTGATTTATGTTTCAGAAAATAGACCTTTCGGAAACCAGTGCAGTCGTCCTTGAATAAAAGAAAATATCTTGATCCACTAGGAGATACTATATTTGATGGACCGAAAACATGCGCACTAATAAATTCTCCTGGGTTTTCTACATTGGGACGTTTTAATTTGACAAAACTTCTTCTATTTTGCTTTCCAAACTTGCAACCTTCACAAAAGAAATCAGATTCATCTTCAAGACTTGCCCCTTCGAACATATTACCTCGTCTCAAACCCGCACAGGATAGTTCACCAGCAGCATTACGAAATTCACGTCTGTCTCTTTGAGCAGTCATAACGAAACCTTTGTCAGTTATTTTTTCGACAGATAACAAATTTCTCCTCAGTTCTGGTATGGATAGGACGTCTGCGATTACCTTGTCCTTCCAAACACCATTAATATTTGCTTTCACGTTAATATCACCAACAGCTGTCACTTTTACGAGTTTATTGTCTGCAACTCGAACAGAAATTTCATCTGAAACTGTTTTCAGGTTGTGAAACCATTTTTTTTCTAAATGACATATGTGCACTTGCGCCAGGTATCAGCCAACCATGTGTCTTCTTCATTTTCTTCATTCTCAACCCAATCTTCTATATCAGTTGGTAGATCATAAATGAGAACTTCTTTGGAATGTTCGCTGATTGATTCATTTTTGGATTGGGATTCATCAAATTTTTTTTTTTCGGCTCGGACACTTTCTCCACCAATGACCTAACTGCTTGCAACATCCGCATTTCGTTTTCTGTTTCAATTCTTGGATGTGATTGGAGTGGATGGTAAATTTTCGTTATGTGGACACCCGGCGATTTTGAAAAAAAATTTGCCTGTACTTACGTATTTTGATGCGTAGATTACGAATCCGAAAGAAAAAATTCACAATTCTTGCAGTCTCAGTTTGAGCCATGTTCAGCAATGAAGTTGTCAATGTCAGAATAATATTGCAGCTTATTATTTTCGTTGAAAATGCAGCAAATACTTTATACTTTTTTCAGATATGCAGAGCAAGTTAATCTGGGCCCATAACCTGTTGTAGAAACTAATTCAACACAGAGTACTTTTTATATGGAAGATAAAGTTGTGGGCGAATTTCAACCACAGCAAAAACATTAACTTTATTTATAGCAACTATACATCTTTTTTTTTTTAATCGATAGAAAATAAATAAACAAGGACAAAACATAATCACTTAATGAAATCTAATTCAACAAACATGCAGAAAACCTTTTCGTGGGACGGTCTGGACTGTACTATTAATATTACTACCAATGATCGGTTTATATCTGTTGGTCCCTCTTTTTCAGATAGAGATGAATGACCCATCTTATCTACTGGAACAGACACTTTTTTTGGTTGGATGTCATTTGTTTTTGCGGTACTTGCTTCCACCGTCGTCGCAAATGTTTTTTGTGGCTCCTCAGGTAACTCTGGTCTGTTATTTTCTTGTTGGCTATTTGAATTGTTTTCCTTTTTCAATGGNTATTAGGTCTTCTTGCTCCTGTGTCCTCTTCTCAAGATGATATGAAAGTTTACTTACAGCTTGGAGTTCCCTAGTTTGAGTTTCTAGTATGAGTCTGTGTTCACTGCAAAGTTTACATTCCGTGGATTCTTGTCTTTCCACGAATAAGTCACTTTCCGCGGATGCACTGCACTTTTCGCTTAAGTTTGACACGTAATTAATCAATACAACGTTTGTTACACTCACTGGTGACTTGAAATTGGTCAGTATTTCAATTAACTCATTCTTTTTTGATTTATTTAATTCACTGGTCACTATCGCTTGCTCGTTTGCGGCCGCCATATTGATCCGCCATATTGATAAATGCATCAACCGCGATGATGGTTAAGGAAATTCCTACTCGCGAATTATTATGACTGAATAATAGGTGAATATAGTCTCTCTGGGTAGATGAGCTGAATGAGTATTTCAATATTCAATATTTCAATATATTTAATATTTGATGATCGGTGAGGTATAGTAAAACTCCGACTTTCTACAGACAAGAGGTTCCAATCCTTTTCGATTTGCGGCTAATTTAATAATTGGATTTTTTCGCTGCATCCTCAGTATATCAGATTTTTTTCTAAATTTTTGACTTTCTTGAAAAAATGGAAAACTTTCGGATTCAGGTTGGAAAGAAAACAATGAAAGACTCGAAAGTTGGCAAATTCTTGGAATTTTGTCAGCACACACGATTGTTGCCGCAAAAATTCCAGAATTGGAAATTCCAAGAAAATTGCCGAATTGCTTGATTAAATATTTCGAGGCGCCCTTATGACGACATCTCAGCGTGAAGGGAAGCCGCGGCGCACACTTTGGAAAGCACTGCTATAGACAATTGATTTAGAAATTTATGGGCATGAAAACAGAAACACAAAAAACGCGTTAGACCATACTTTTCACATCCGTACTAGGGTTAGGTTATCTAAAGTTAGGTCTATTCGACCCTCCACCGACCCTCACACCTATTCACACTCGACCAAATAAACCCAGCTTCCTAACGAAGCCGATCAGTTTATATGGTGAGTGGTCATCATTTTTCAAACAGAGGCGACAAAAATTGTCTTCGGGCAGTCCGAGTCTCTGCATATGATGATTCAAATGACAGTGACCTAAAAGGAGGACTGTTAGACATCGTAGTTCATCTCTACTGTAGTCCAACAACTGTTTGGTATCAAGCTTCGAAGGGCGAATAAACGCCTTGGAGTGAGCCAATCCTGGAAGATTCTGCCAGAAGTCCATAAATCTTCCTACCATCCAGTTGTTCAATGTCTGTTTGGCGAAGTCTGAAGCGATGCCAATGACAGGTTCTGGTCCGATGAAGCTGCTTGTCAGCAGCCTCATTGCCTTCCAGGCCAGTATGACCAGGAATCCACACCAGAGACAATCTGTTAGAAGTTTGTTTGAAGGTGGTTGACAATGGTTCGTGGTGCATTTCATCAGTTCGGACTTTCATTGTCTAATATGATATAAATTGATTTGAAATCCCTGAAAGAATCTGTAGCTGTTCTATAATGCTGCGCACGCCTAAGTTCGTTGATTCTGATTCTGTCAAAACATTGGAAAAGCAGCGATACAGCAACATGGTACTAATTAGTACTACAACTACCAAATTCTACGCGGGCGAAGCCGCGGGCAACAACTAGTTATATATAATGATCCCATCAAGATATATCAACTTTTTTCCAAAATTTGTTTGTATCTTAATTTGTGACAGTAATTTGGTTTGTCTTGTGGCATGATTGTGAATATGTCCAATTGGAATAAAATTTATGTTTGATTTATTTTTATTATTTTTTACAGAATGAATGAAGCAGCTAATTTTGAGTTTATAGAGTGAATTCAAGTCCAATAAAAAGTTTGGTTTATATAAGTTCAATGTTGGTTCCAAATATGGTAATTCGTAAATGCTTCTTATTATTTTGTTTTGTAAGGTTTTACGTTATAGATTGTTCCCCAAACAGAAATAATATAGTGCAAATGTGAATAAATGAGACTGAAATAAATATTTTTTTTTTAATTTCAAAGGTATAAAGTTTGTAATTTTGTAAAAAAATCCAATAAGAGGAGATATTTTCTTCCTAATTTTTTCAGTATGTTTATTCCATGACAATTTCTCATCAATGTATAAACCTAAAAATGGTGGTGTTTTTGTATATTTAATATAATTTTGATCAAACATGATCGAATTATTTGAAGTATCAATTAGCCTTAGGAAAATATTCATATATGAACATTTATCGAAATCAAGCCTCAACTTATGTTCATTAAGCCAAATGAGAATTTGATCCAAAGCATTCTTCAAATAATTTTTTATTTTTTCGTAACTGTCTGAGAAATATATAATGGTAGTATCATCAGCAAATAGTTTAATTATACCATTCAATTTCAAATTGGCTAATGAATTAATATACATAAGGAAAAAACAGGACCAAGGATGGATCCTTGGGATACACCACAAATTATATTTTGAAAAGAGCTTTTTTGATTACCTATATAAACATATTGTCTTCTATCAAACAAATAGTTCTGAAACCATTCAAGAATATTGTTTCTGATTCCAATATTGAATAATTTTTTCAACAATTCTACTATGGTCAACTGAATCAAAAGCTTTGCACAAATTGAGGGACAAGAGACAACATTTCTTATTTTTATAAATTTCCATTTGGATTTGTGACACTACATCCATTACCGCTGTCTCTGTCGCTAGATCTGCGAAAACCGTATTGACTTTTAAATAAAGGGTTATTGTTTTCCAGATAGTTCATAAGCCTCATATATATCAGTTTCTCTAAGATTTTTGCAAAAACGGGAAGCACAGAAATTGGTCGATAATTATTGTTCAAATCGTTTTTTTTTCACTTTTATATATGGGTGAAACCTTTGCAATTTTCTTTTTTTTTTAACTATTCTACTTTCGAAGTATTTCGAAATAATATAAAATAAAATTGGAATCACTTCACCTTTGAGTGCTTTCACAGTTTTTACAGAAATTTCATCAAATCTACATGCTTTGTTAGGATTGAGTTGATCAATAATATATTCTATTTCAGATATACAACAAGGTATACAAGGTTCAAAAAACATAGATGAAACAATCGAAAAGTCATTAGATATTCTTGTTGCATTAGAGTTAGTATTTGTTGGTTCATTACCAAATGAGAAATGATAATTAACGAAATGATGAATAACGAATGTAACGAAATGATAATTAACTGCTTCACAGATTTCAAGCGGATCATCAATATTCATACCGTTCAGATTTAAACTTTTAATTTTTTCATTCTTATTAGTTGAATTATTCAGTAAAGAATTTATACATGTCCACATCAATTTTGGGGTTGAATTGCTGAATTGCTTCTGGTAATATTTATATTTTTTATCTCGAATAGTTTTTTTAACTGATTTATTCAAAAAGTTATATTTTCAAAAAAATATTCAGAATTATGAAATTTCTTTTTTTCTATTAAAGAATTCATTACGTTCTTTAATCAATTCTGCTAAGTGATTATTGAACCATGGCTTTGAATTTTTCTGACGAGTGTATTTTCGTAAAGAAAAATATGAATCAAAGTATCTATTGACTGTTCATAAGCATCATCGAGATTTGGATGAAGGTGGATTGTATTCTCAAGGTTTGCGAATTTTTGTTGAAGAATTTGATAGTTAAATGTTCTAATTTTAATAAAATCGATAGGAGATTCATCGAATTTATGCTGTGTATTTATATAGGAGACATGAATTTTATGATCACTCAGTGAAATATTTGAAATAGAGAGATGTATCTTTTTTTTTTAATTTGTGATGAAATGATCAATGAGTGTAGAGTTTTTATGTGTTTCTCTAGTAAGAATTTTATCATTGACTAGAAATACATTATTGGATTCATAGATATCCAATAATCGATTTGTGTTACCATCATCAGATAAAATATTCACATTCATATCACCAAAAACGAAAATATCACATTTGTAATGATTAAAACTTTCAAGTGTTTCATCCATAAAATTCAAGAAATTTTGATGAATCACCCTAGGTGAACGATATATACCACATAAAATACAGTTGAGTGACTTAATTTTTAAATCAATGAATTCCAGTAGATCCTCTTCTTTTTTTTAACTTGAAATTCAAATTTGTTCTCTACGAAATTGCCTACACCGCCAACTCTTCGCTTTTCACTGGAGAATACTGACAAAAATCCTTGAAAATTATAGAACTCTTCTTCTTCATTGGTCAGCCAAGTTTCTGATATAATAGCAATGTCTACCTTCAATTCGTTGATTATGACCTCTAAGTCATACATTTTATTTTTGATCGACCTTGAATTTAGATAAAGACACAATGAAATTCGGAAATTGAAGATATTTCATGAAGTTCCATCTTGTCATCATCAGCCATTGAAATCAATTTAGGAGTATAATTTTTTCTCATAATATTTAAGTATAGACCAAGTCTTGTCTGACGCTGTATGGCTCGTACCAAAACGTGTATTATATTTCAGATTGGAATATTCACAATTCAGACATTTTAATTCATTTTTTGTTGTATTATATCTATTCTCAGAATGACTTCCTCCACACCATGGGCAAATGGAATTGTTTCTGCATTTATTGGTTGTATAATTGAATCTGAAGCACTTGAAACACTGAGGAACGATTGTTTACAAAAACCATACAATTTTGCCAAGAAACGAACAATTTACTGTTGTTCTGCAAATTTGTTTTAAAAGATTTTCGTTCACCTCTGCGAATACGGTAAATGTTTTTGTACCTTCCAAATAGTTTATATAGTGAATTTTGAATGTATCAACGTCATCTACAATTGAATTTTGTTTTCTAATTAGACTTTCGAGCTATTCAACGAAAGTCATTTTTTGTGGAGGAAAAAATCAGTTTTTTATCGACCTTTTTTTCGAGCTGTTCTTCATTGATCTTTTTTTCTAATCGCAATCCAACTATCTTAATTTTTGGGTTTATGAGTTTTTGGAAATCAGTTTTAAACTTATTTTCTAATCTCTTGATGATTTCGTTTTCCACTTTTGAACACTGTTCCTTATTTCTACATACAACTTTCAATCCACCATTCTTTGTTATTCCAATTCTATCAACATTTATTTTCAAATCCGCCACATTAATATTATTTTCGAAATCCATCCTTGTTTCCATTACGGATTGTTTAGATTTTGGTTTGATAATAAGGGTATGTTGAGTGGTTTTTGATTCATTTGGAAATTTATTAGCAACTACATTTGAATTAATTGATTTAATTACGTTTTCTCGTGGTGCTCGTTCTACAGAAGACAAACAATTCACTTATTCAATAATTTTATCTATACCCTCGAAAAGACCTTCCATTTTTTCACATTTCTGACAAGTCATTCTGCTTAATTTCTCTTTTAATAAATTTATTTTGTCAATTTAAAGGTTGTTGATTTTTTCTTTCTCTAATATAATGATTTCCTTGTCGATTATACCTTGTTGGTTACCTCGGTCACAGGCAGATGGAGCGATGATAAACCTGTTGTTGTCTGCTTCTGCTTAGTTCGAGAAATGATATTCTGCTCCTGTGGGAGCATATATTTTGAAGTTGTTATAAAGCTTTTTTGGTTATTTGTTATTTGTCTAAACTCACTCTCAAAATAATTAGGGTTTCGTTATTGAAGATGGAGAACAAAGTTGAATCAAAGTTTCAGAATCACAATGTCAACTATACTCAAGTATGTTTCACGTAACGTAGTTACTCAAATTAAAGAGTTTAGATTTAGATGAACAGTATGAACAATAAACAATATCACATCATAAAATACAGTACAATTATTTTCCAGATGCCCAGACTACTTCCACAAGTACTTCCACAATATCGACGTCATCTGCAACACTTGCAACTAGGAAAGCTGTTGAAACATCCTCAGTATCAACTGTTATAGCTGGCGACGCAGCAACTATGGCATCAGCACCTACTTCCTCAAAGACTGATGAAGAAAACGTTTCAATATCGACTTCTGAAGAATCAACAATAACACAAGAAACAACTACAAGTCCAACTGATGAAATGGGTACTGAGGGGGAACAAACAACTACTTCTAATGGAGCTACAGATGATGAGCAATTAACATCTCCAGAAGGAACAACCGTTACTATGGAAGAAACAGCAGCTTCAACCGATGAGGCAACTACAGCAGCCCAAGATGGAACCGATGCAGATGAAGTCTAGAAGATGAAATATTTCTACTACAGATTGTTATAACGATAGAAATAGGAGATATAAGAAAAGTAATCAAAAAATGTATTCACATAGTTAATTTCGCTAATGATTCAGAAATATAAAGCTTCAGATAAAAAACAGTTTGCATGGTAAATCTTATATTGTTCTTAATTATCGAAACCATGGAATATAGTGCTTACATAGCTAATCCCTTCCACAAAAATAATATTGTTCCATTCATTATCACTCATTACTACATTTGAGATTTTGATGAGATGACCGAACAAACCATGAAGATAGCGGAAATAAGCTCGACGAAAAAATTTCTTCGATCCAAGTCGAAATACTACGTGCAACAACTTTAGAATAACAATAATAACCTGAGGATGGGTAGGTAGATAGATTCAAAGTTAGTGAGTCTCTTTATATGAGTAATGAAAGATCCTTCTTTCAATTATCTAAATTTTCCCATGGAGCTCCTCAAGGTTCAGTTCTTGCCCAGCTACTTTCATTATTTATGCTTCAAACTTCAGTCAAGTTCAAAATACGAATTATACAAATTTGTATTTTTCCGCGCTGACGTGGAAAATCTTCTCCAGAACATATACTGAATAAAGACATCAAAAATCTAGTTTAAATTTATAAAAACTTTTGTATGAAACGGAATTCTGATACATCCATAATTATCTTTGGGAACGCCAAAAACCGGATGAGTGCCTTGGGCAATATGTAACTTCGAAACGAGTAACACACACTAAAGTCCACTGGCAAAATCATGTGTCTTGAACTCCACATGGACTCTGCTCAAACTCGTTGACCACATTAATACGCTTATGAATATTATAGATACTGAAACGCTTGTATACTAACATACACTGCCTTAATAAATCATATTCGTTCATACTGGAACCTCTGGCGTAAAATGAATCTATTTAAAACACTTTCACAACACCAGAACAAAAATTACGGTCTCTCCAGATTCTAAATTTTACTACTATGTTAGTGTTTTTATATCCTAGTGGCCTAACTACTACTACCTGATAGTATTACCTAACAGGTACTAGTTAGTATTACCTAACTAGACCGGTTAGTATTACCTAACTACTATTGTATTGATCCTATGCTATACTGCCTGTTTTTTATACCTCTAATTTGTTATGTATTTCCTCTATGTTAGTGATCATCTCTAATATCTATCAGTTTTTTATTTAGAATTATTACGTACAAAACCAAACAAAGGGTTGTTCGAAATATGGCCTTTGTCGATATTCATAGAACTCATTCCGCACTTTTCGATTTCCAAGTTTTCGAAGGCATCCAGAAACCTGATGTCATGTACCGGCCTCAACAATTTTAAACATTATTCACTTATTATATGGACGTTCTCTATGACATATTGAGAAACTAGATTTATCCGATCCATGAAACCGAACATACGAAACATGTTCCTTGCATCGAGCTAATACAGTCTGGTTTGACCAACATATTTCTTATCACAACCCTCGCAGCTTACTTCGTAAATCCCAGACTTTTCTTTTTCCAACGTCTTGCCTTTCGGACTGCCCAACACACGTGCAGTTTTGAACGTCACTTTTATATTAAATTTTTTGAATGTTCGGAGCAACCCATTGGTGTATTTGGGTTCATATGAAAGCACTATGAATTTTGAATCTTTCTCTTTTCGAAAAGTCGGGGCATTACGAAGATACTCCCTAAATTTTTTGTTTTCTAATTAATTCATTCATTATGTTTGGCGGATACCCGTTGCTTTCAGCCACAGAAAACAGATAGAGATAGGTATAGGATATTATTAACAAAAAAGTATTAAAATACCAGATCGATTCCAAAAATGTATTAATATACGGGGTGTTCCATTTAAAACCATTAAGTTGCTAGGACTTTTTGATGGAAGTGGCAACGTCGCAATGCTGAAAATATTTTAGATCAATAGAACAGGTAAGGAAATGTGAGAGGTGAAATTTTCAGAAAAATCATGCTTTGCGTTTTCCAGAAACGTCTAACCTACCATCGACCGTGAGTCACGCTGTATAATCCCACAGTACCCAAAATATACGGTCTGCTAGAAATCCACAAGCCAGGCAAGTCGGTGCGACCAATTGTATCAGCCATAGGTTCCCCTACGTATAATACCAAATGGTTAGCGAAACAGTTTGAAACACTATCGATTCCGCAACCCAGCTCAAGTGTTAAGAACTCACAAGAATTCATCGAGAAGATCAAAGAGTAAGGTTGGGAGAAGGAGCGATCTTAGTATCCTTTGGCATATCTTCGTTATTTCCAAGTGTAAACATACCAAAAACAATTGAATATTTTTTGGGAGAGTGTTTTCAAGAGAGCTTAATAAATCAGTGTCTTTCTTTGATTTTGTCTTCATTTAACTATCACCAACTTCCGCCAAACGGTCATCTCCCGTTAAAACCAATGAAGCGGAGAGAGGGAAGAGGGGATAGGTGAAAGCACTCGAATGACCTATAAATAGTCGGATTTAGGAGGAATAAGTCCAGTTATCACCCGAAGACGATTGTGGATACTAACAATCGAAACGTCGTGACGTAACTTGGTTTGGAATCTTTTAATTTTTATATTCCATTTTTTATTAATGATATTTTTTAATTTTCAGCTTTTATTAATATTTCTTTTTTTATTCTTTTGGTTGTTGCTTGTATGTTATTTATTTGTAATTTCAGTTTTTTTGGTTAATAAAATTGTTATTTTCGGTAAATATTTTTAATTTTTTTCAGGGATTTCAAATCAATTTATACTATATTAGACAATGGAAGTCCGAACTGATGAAATATATCATGATAGTGTATATAGCACCTATATTGATTCAAAAGCATCTGAAAAAATTCAAAATCCAAAATGCATGCATCAGATTTATTTCTAATCTGAAATTTTAGTACCATATGACACCAACTATTGAACTGAGTGAAGCACGCAGAGAAAAATTAAAATTTTGCTCTCCTTTGACCGGTTACTCAATCGTAGAAGTAACACTTTTCCACTTAACCTTGGAAAATGACTTTATATAATATATATATCCGAGTACACACTACATAGACACATAAAACTCTGTACATTGTACGCAATGATTCATTTTCCCAAGCCTTATTATATAAATGCATGTAATACTAATTGTAATAAAAACTTAACCGAAAAACGTATAGTGAATATTGATTTCACACTAATAATGATCAAAAAAGAAGAAGAAAAATGAGAACATCAATATACAAAACTGATAAAATATGATAGAACTGGCCGATACTTGAAGAAAATGCATGATAACGTATTCAAAAAACACACTATAATGTAAGAAATCCACTTGAAAAGTTACAAAACCGCGACACGTGTTTCGCTATACCATAGCATCTTCGGGTTTTACCTATCACAGTACAGTATTGTAACGCCCGAATATGCTAAGGTATAGTGAAACAAGTAAGTGTCTCACAAGTCAAAACTTGTGCGAGCTCAGGATTAACCAGGTGTTACCTTTTCACGTGCGATTCCTACCAAGGAATAAGGAATCGAAAAAAGCCCCATTCAATGAATTTCACTAGTTCGGACTTCCATTGTCTAATATATAAAATGCTTTGAAATCCATGAAATAACTAAAAAAGGAGAATTAAAAATGAATAGCTGAAAATAACACAAAAATAACCTGAAATGAAAGAATAATGAAATAAAATACAAGTAACAATAGAACGATTGAACAAAAAATAAAAATTAAGTATAAAAATCATAAAGAAATAAAATGAAAATACAAATAAAAAATTTAAGAGATTCCAAGCCACGTTAGTTCACGACGTTTCGATTGTTAGTATCTACAATCGTCTTCGGGTGATGACTGGATTGATTCCTCCGAGAGATGACTATTTATGGGTCGTTCGAGTACTTTCACTTATCCCCGCTTTCCATTTTTTTTTCGCTTCACTGGTTCAGTGGGAGATGACCGTTTGGCGGGAGTTGGCCAACTAGGTATTCATTTGTAATTCTCCTTTTTTAGTTGTTTCAGGGATTTCAAATCATTTTATATATTAGACAATGGAAGTCCGAACTAGTGAAATTCATCATGAAACATTGTCAATCACCTTCAAACAAACGCCCCATTCAATGAGGTATCACACGAATACCATTTTTCTATTGACTCCAATTCTTAGGTATTTAAAAAGTTTGCTGGATGACACTCGTTCTTATAGGTTGTAATGTTTTTAGGATAAAACTCAACTTCCTTATAAACAAATTCAACGTGTTTTTGAATTTTTGGGAAAAATTATTTTTTTACCAATCTGATGGGCCGCTATGTATACTACTCGAATAATATACAATAAAATATAGCCCTTGAATAATTTGAAAACCATACAAACAAAAAGCAATTTTAAAAAATCATTTTACTCCACTTGAATTGAAATGTATGATATACTCAGTCTGTCCAATCACATAAAAAACCGAATGTTGTCACTTGATCCAAAATAGGAATAAAAATATATTACATGATTGTTAATAATAGTAATCAATTAAATGATTTTTGCAATGGCATCCATAATACCAGATTCAACATTCGTTCATATCAATTTCCATTGGATTTTTCACCTGATTTGAGTGAATGTTCATTTCTTCATTTCATTTTTTTTTATTTCATATCCTCCAAATCTGTTTATATGTTTGATATGTATTTTTTATATTTTGTAAGTATTTTCTTGAAATATATTGAAGTAATAATTAGTGTAGGAGAAAGTTGCCATCTATGAGATAAGTTATATAACACATCAGCTACTCGTTCAATAAAGGCAGTGTTCTTGATATTTAGCAGTGTGATTTGAATAGCTGGCGTCATCTAGTAGTTCCATCATCAATTGAAGTGAAGTACCTACCAGGTAGCACAAGGAAAAATATCTTGCTTTGAACTTTTCCTGAAATCGTTGTTCATGGAAACTTTAAACAACGTTAAAATTGAAAATATTTGAGTAGCATAGAAGCTTCCAATGATTGATTAAGTTGTACGAATAGAACACACTTTGATCCTCAATGATTTAAAACGGGAAACTTCAGGAAAGTGTTTTTATTAGGAAAGGG